AAACCATATGGCTCCGATTCCGGAGTCCCCGGCAGGACGTGGTTCAGACTTTTCTTTGTTTTCCATTTAAAACCCTGGAACATTTCAACATTTATATATGACATACATGTACAGTACAAAGTACTGGCTGTACTTGCCAGTTTTTTGTGGTACAACTGATCTGTGAGCAAACAATAAGTAGTATGGTTAAATGCAGTAATACAAGTACATGTACATGTAACTATACAAACAACTACATTCAAATGAAAATCTGTCTGGTTTGATATACTGCAATGAGTTTATCAAAAACAAAATAATGTTTTTTTTTCTCAACAAGTACATATAACTGTATCTACACCCTGCAAGTCACTACAAATTTTAGCTATGGAGGAAACCAGTGATATACAAATAATCAATGTTATGAGTGTAGTAGCAAGAATTATTACAGGTATTTCATAGGACGACCGAGTGAAAGTTCTATTCCACAAGGCCAAGCAACATATAATTAAGACAGAACTATGTCATATTGCAGCAATGGTCCACAAAGAATCTGTGGCAACCAACCTCTCCAAGCATATAATGAAAATGACTAGCGCATAAAAAAAGAACATTAGTTATGCATGTCACTTGTTGATGGTTATTTCAGTATGTGTACTAGAAGCTGCTCAAGCAGGCTTTCGAGTGCTCTACTTGTACCCCAGCCAAAGAACTTCAAGGACTTTTTTCATGGAATGAAGAGTCGGACAAAAACGGACAACAGTGGAAAATAATGCATTACATGGCATCATTGTATCCATTGCCTTTTAATGTTTGTTTCACCAAGTTTTTATTCGTATTTCTGAATAGTCCTTGTGGGGTGACAAAACTTTAGGAAATGTTCTCTCTGTTCTAAGGTTTACCAATACAAATGTTTGTAGCACATGACTCAGAGCCTTGAGTTTCCAATATCTCCCACCAATATGGAATCAATTTTCTGTCAAGTTTGGTGTTTGATTAGTTTATTTGCATGTATCCAACATGCACTTAAGAACCACAGTGTCCATTGCAAACTACACGTACATGTACACGGACATGTGAATACACGACTGTGAACTGATCACCATTCTGATCTAACATCAAGCTACTTAGAGTGTTATAAAAGTGAGTGCAAAGAATATGAAAAAAAACTATTATCCAACCATGCCAGACCTATTATCTTGTGTGATATGAATATTACTTGCTTCTGCAAAGCCAAGAGCACTATGTATACCTAAGGGTGTTCAAAGTCATGCATTTCATAGTCATTTGTGAACCAGTAAGTCTGCTGAGTTCCAACCAACGGAACTCTTTGGCTAGAAAAACTGCAGCCTTTCTTAGTCCAGCTCAGGGCTCATATGCCCATCTTTTTAGCTGATGTTTTCACCTGTTTTACGAGGAAAATTAAGGGTGACAAGGGAATTTTTTAACATCAGTGATTAGTGGTCCCTGTCCCATGTAATTTTATTGTTCTGGGCCAATAAAAACCATTCTTGACATTGCAAGAATAAATCTCCAAATACAGATTTGTCCACAATATTCTCTTATACTTTATGGTTGAACTCGGAATAATCATACTTGTATTCGATACCAGCTCAAGTATAAAACAATCCCAATACCAAATTTCTGCATCATCAAATTTACAAAAAGGTTCCATGCAGTTTGCAGTATGGATGTCACAGGTATTCAAAGGCTACTTATTTTTTAGGAAATCAGAATTATTTGCAGACATTCTATCAGGTTAGACGAGAAACAAATCAAATGATCCATTTTCAAAAATAGTTGATATGAAGCTGGTTTTCAAAGCAATGTTGTTTATGCATTTACATTTTAAGTACATGTATTGGGGTTTAAAATAACACACCATTTCTATCATGCACAATTTTTGGACAATTTTATTGTCATATCTTAAGAATTGATTGAAAAATATTACAAAAACACAAAGATTACAATGAAGTATGGTCTCCAATAAAAAAATCACCTACTTTCTGAAAAAATATTGAATATCGATATACCAGCATTATTGTTTCAAATCAGCTTCTTTTCTCAGAGTATTAAAAAAGGTTTCTGCAATTCAAGTCACAAAAGTTGATCGATATCTACATGACTGCATGTATTTTCTGAATTCATGAATCAATTTTGTGGTAGCAGTCACTGCCTTTGAAGCAATTTAGCAAATCAAGATTTTCCATGGAAGGGAGAATTCCAAGTTAAACATGCGGTGACTTAGGCTGAATCCTGAGGTATTGTAACAAGGTTTCTAAGGGACCAAGGGTTCCTCTATAATGAGCTCACTATCTCCCGGTCAGTGCATACCAATGTAATCATCAGACTACATGTCCATGTACATGTTGTCTGGTCAGGAATGCACACAATAGAACCAACTAATGTGCCGTAATCTCCCAGCACCACTCACTGGTAACTTAAAAAGACTTTGAAAGGAAACTTTCCAGGACATTTAGAATTACATGTGCATGCTTTGATCCCATATTAACAGGGTACACCATCTTCTGGCCCAGCCTACAATACTGAAGGTCATGGGCAAGAACTCTCGACCAGACTCTCTCATCTTTTTGGAGAAAGACTCTCTTTATCAATTTTTACCTTTAAAAAGGAAAACAAAAGAAACAATAAGGACAAGCTAATTTAACCATTTGTCCATATCCATCACAGAGTTGCCAGAGCCATTTCACAAGTTTCACACTTTAAATTCTCACCCCTAGCCATGTGCCACAACTAAGCCTTTCGTGATATTGCTGTGTCTGGGGCTGGTTCAACCATGCCAGGAACCAGGGTTGAAAATTTTATCCAAGGAGTCAGACACTTTCCAAGTGTGACTGAGAATGTTCTGATTCATAGAGTGATACAGACAGTGGTGCCTTCACCTCATGGAAAACATCAGAGGATAAAAACTTGATGTCATTGCCACAATTCAACTGAAAATACCATACACAGCAAATACTGTGCAGTTTGATTATGGCTCTGACTGAAATAAAGTCTGACCAGTCTGGCTCAGTAATGCCTGACCAGAAGTTGCCAAAAGTCAAATACGAGCAATACCTAATTAATCTGATTTTTTTGACATGAAAATCCACACAGGGTTATCCCTCCGTAACAAAAGCAGTTACCACAAAGATGGCTGCCATGCACAACCTCAATAATGGCACTGTACTACACAATTAATTTTTTAGGAAGGAAGACTTCAATAACCGTCCCTTAGACATGTCATGCTCTCCATCTTGCCCACCAGCTACGTGTGACCAGCAAGTCACAAAAAAGGTAGCCATTAAGACAACCAACTACCAGAACATAAACAGTCTTACTTCTTCATCTTAGCACCAATTCCTTCGTGCTCCTTCCATCCCATTCCTCTGAGCATGGCCATCCCAAATTGCTCAATAGGGACCTGGTCATAATCAGCAGCAGATGCCTGTAAAAAAATTACTGACTGTATTAGGATATTTATTTGTAAATACTTGTACTACACAGTTTGCACGTTGCTTTTGTACAGTAAACATTTTCATCTATTGCGAACTGCATCACGGATCTACTTTTGAATTTGGACGAAATAAAAAGTGCTGTAAATATCAATTTTTATCTGCAACTTGCTGTATCTGTGATAAATGTTAGCACAAGAAAAGCATGCAAAGAAAAAAACACAAGTATTCAACAAGTATCAGTAATAGTTACAATTCCGTCTTAACTGAATAGCGGATATCTGCTAAATGTCTTAATCAAGACAAATGTGCTGTATACAAATAGTGACATAACCCAAGGCACTGACCTCATCAGGTCTGATAGAGACATCAAGTTTCTCATCAGTCTCAGTTCCCTCAGGGGCTCTGTTCTGCATCAGAAGAGGAATGGTCAAGTTGACATCTTCCCTATCACGCCCCTCCCACTCTTCATTATATTGAGCAGCATCTGAAGGTGTAAATGTACAATTCCTTTTAAAATGCTTTGCAAGTTCAGTACTCAGTGCACTGATACTAGAAAATTGACATTGACACTATAAATGCTAATCATTAAACTGACAAAAGAATGATGGGACAAAAACCACTGAGTGTAAAATACCTGGAATAAATGCAAACCTTAAGTTATTATGGATTGAAAATCGATGGATGTAGATTAAGCTTCAGTGCATACCTTTACATGTACTTAAACATGATGTCTTAACCTGTTTGGGGAGCAAATCTTAAGAGGGTTGTGAAAATTTAAAAACACGAACAAAAGAAATTAAATACAACCAATACCTTGGATGATTTCTTTGATAGCATCATCATCAAGGTTGTCTGCAGAAGTATTTAAGATCTCGGACCTATCTTCTGCTGTCTTCCTTTCATCTGACTGTTGGCTTCCATGACTTCCATATGCATTACGCTTTATCAATGGAATCACAAGGGGTTTCTCCTTCTCTTTTGGCTTGTTACTGTACTTGTGTGAAGAAAATATACTTTTCTCAATTTAACACATGCTACTTGTAACATCAATCCATGTTAGTTATACACCAATGATGCTGGCAGTACATGTACAGGTACTAGCTTATTATAAAGTCAACATTCTTCCCAACTTTATTGCTACATATATTACGTTGAATCAGGAACAAATGTGAGCACAATCCACTTAACATTGTTGCCTGCAATATAGGGTCCATGGTGTTTTGTACACCTGAGGGGGAGCCAAGGGTGCCATTTGCCCCAGACTGGTCGACTGGTTGAATTTCAAGATAAGAGAGACAAGACATGAGAAGAGACAATGGCATGAGCATTTTATATAAATAGCAAGGGTGTGAGTGAATTTAGGCATTTGAAAAACATGGTACACACTGAAAGAAAACAAAACCTGAAGTTATTCACACACAAAAACTAAATTTACTTTGGATGCCTGACATCATGTTCATGCCAAAAATATTCTATTGATGAGGAAATCAGCATGATTGTATTTGATGTCTTCTTCACTACTACTGTAGTTCAAGACTTTCACAAAATTTGTTGCATTCACATGGTGGAAGACACATTTGTTGCCTACAAACTACTCTTCAAAGTATTAAGGATACGGATGTCTCAAAAACTAGGATCATACCCATAGTTAGAACATTTCTACCAGCACTTCTCTTTCCAACTTGTAACCTGCTTTATAACCCCCTCAAGGTGGCAAGACATGGTTCAGCAATCTGTAGACATTGATCAGTGTGCCAAAGTGGGTAGAGAAGGAGTTGGCTTTGATTCAAAGTAATGAAGAAAGCTAATCCTTATTTGCTCCAATTTCCATAACACAAATTTTAAAAAGTATTCAAATATTTTAGTAGAAGTCCTATTTTTATTTAAGAAAATAAAGAGGCCAATAACACATTAAATTGCATCACTAGATATCCCTTAGTAGTCATAGCTAAAACCAAAGGGTGACTGTGAAGTTTAGAATCCAGGTTTTTATAACAAATGACACATCCACCTCTAATTTTTTACTTTGTCAAGTCTCAACATTGCAGAACAGATCTACATCTTTGTAGTAGTTAAAAATATTTTTAAAAATATACATGTAGTATATTACATACAGTAAACTCTGACTAAGTCGACATTGCGTAATCCATCATATCATCCAAGTTGGGCGTTTGAAAAAAGTCCTGATCATCTGTAATGCATTTCAATTGAAAATTTCATTTCTAAGACGGCATTTATAAGTTGTTATTTCGTATATGTCGGCATGTTTTTCTTGGTCCCTTTTCCACAATACCACAAAAATTCCCTTGTGTAAGTCGGCATTAAAAAAAATTGTGCTTCAGTATCGGTTTCCTTCGCCGCGGTTGCCAAAAAGTGTCAAGTCCCATGCACGCTGCCTGCATGAGTACATCAATACCAGTAATCCTTCTGATGCTACACGCATGCGCTCTGTCCATTTTGGGGGTCGCCTTCTTGAACGTACATGTAGTCTGGTTCACTGCCCAAAGATTCCCCGACGATTCTTGATAATAATTCGCCAGGTAATCAGAATCATCGGGTCTGGTATCCAGACTATATGGAATGAACTTAACCAATGCGCGTGTGGATGAGTATGTTTTCTGTACCATAATGTGTACATATTTGTACGTACTGCACTGTCAATTTGTGATGTGACATGCAAGTGGCTTACCGTCTTTGCTTTGTCCTTAGGGGCACATGATCAATGATGGAATTTACAGGATAATAATCGAGAACGAATTTGCAGGAATCGACCATGGAGATAGAAATAAACCTGGGTAAATCAAGACATTGAAATAAAAACAAGGAATCATAATGTACATAGGCAATACATGTGTATGTGTAAGTCGGCAAAATGATTACTTACAACAGAAGTCGGCATTCGCGTAAGTCGTCATAATTTCTTGAGTCCCGAGAGTGCCGACTTAGCTGGAGTTTACTGTAGTAACGATATCTTCTTCTCGAGTCACTACGCCTCAAAAAAATACACTTAGATTGTCCCAGTCCAGCGGTGGATGCATTGCATCGCACACGGGGTCAGAGATGCCAGATCTTCTTGAGTGCAAGGCTCTGGTAGAAGTGGACTGACAAGTAGATGTTGCCTAGTCTACTCCTCTCCACATTGGCAGGTGGTGTCATCATTCTCACTATACCCCTCTTTGCTAGGTTGGATCTGCAACGTCCAACAGCACTTCTTAGTCGGTTGCAGCAAGAAAGACCATGCCTCGCTGGCACCAGATGGTAGAGTTTCCTCCGGGTTGATAGTAGACACTGCATGTGGTGCGTTGGTAAGACGTCAGTCCACAGGGATACACGCTGCTTGTCCGGGCTTTTGTTTAGTGCCTCCACAGAGTGCATGAAACTGTGCCTGGATTTCAGCCTCTTCCTTGTTGGTTAATAATTTAAAAGAGGGTGGCGAGGGTCATTTTCCTGCTTCAGTTTTTCCTTGTGAGATGCGACAGTCCTGGGGATGCTAGGGGGTGCAATCCCACTCAGTAGGTAAAGGCCCTCAACCTTCATGGGCTTTAGGCAGCCAGTTATAACCTAACATGCAGAATTCAGAACAGGGTCGATCTTGGTGGCATGAGCTGATCTACTCCAGACAGGTGACGCGTACTCTGCAGTAGAGTAGCATAAAGCGAGTGCTGTTGTATGTACTGTCTTGGCATCAGCACCCCACTTTGTATTGGTCAGCTTCCTGAGGATACTATTCCTAGATCCCATATTTGCCTTAGTTTTAGTGATGTGATCCTTGAATGTGAGGGACCTGTCAAGTGTTGCCCCTAGGTAGACTGGCTTGGTGATGTGTTGCAGCTGTTTTCCATACCAGCTAATCCGTAGTTGGCGGTTGCCTTCCTTGTTTATAAAATGAAAGGCAGTGGTTTGTGTTTTGTCTGGGTTGGCTCTAAGATGATTGGTGGCATAATACGGGATGAGCAGGTCAAGGGCATTGAAAGGGAATCCTCTACTTCTTCAAAAGTATCCCTTTGAGATGCAATTCAGAGGTCATCAGCATAGAGGAAGCGTCTAGTGTCTGGTTGGGTGGGTTGGTCATTTGTGTAGATATTAAACAACAGGGGGCGAGCACACTCCCTTGTGGAAGTCTGTTCCTCTGTGTCCTCCATCTACTCTATCTGCCACATAAGTCTACAAAGAATCTGCAGTTTGACAGCATGTTACAGATCAGCTCAGTCAGCCTGACATCTGAGGTCATCTCATACAATTTCTTGTTGAGGATTCGGTGGATGACTGTCATATGCTGCAGAAAGATCAACAAAAGCAGCACCTGTGATTTTCTTGTTCTCAAAACCATCCTCAATGAACTGTGTAAGATTCAGGAGTTGTCCTGTGCATGATTTTCCAGGTCTGAAGCCTGCCTGCTCGGGGATATGATGGTCATCCACAAACAAAGATATGTGGTTAAGAAGGAGGCGTTCAAACAGCTTGTACACATGGCACAGTAAGGAAATTGGCCTAAAGCTCTTAGGGATTGCAGGGTCTTTGCCAGGTTTTGGTAGAGCAATGACTCTTGCTTTCCTCCAGGTCTTTGGGATCTTGTTGGAACTAACACATTCGTTGACCATATCAAGAAACCACCTGCGTGCACCTGATCTGTTCTACTAGGACATCATCAAGACCTACAGCCTCGTTGTTTTTCATAGCAGTCATTGCACATTTCAAGTCACTGATTGTAAACGCTCTTGTGAAACCTGTGGACTCTTGTGAGGATGCATTAGCAGCTATAGGGAGCTTAGCTCTCTGACGACAGTGGTTCAGGTTACCTCGACTATTCAGGAGGAGTTGGTGGGCAACCTGATCAGCGGTGACTTGCGGCCTTGGTTGCAACAATGTGTAGTCATTTCCCAGGATGCGGATAGTCTTCCAGGCTTTCCTGCTACTTATGAGTCATATCTGTGTTTTTGATGAGCCCTTGCCATTTCTTCCGCTTTTCTTCCATGATGGAGCTACATGTAGCTAGGGCTCAATGGTGTCATCACTGAAAGGATCATCCTCGAAGCGCAAGATGTAGTCATCACATAACGCCTCAGACTCATCTGTCAGGCCCTGGATATACCTTGTAAAGCAGCCACGATGGAAACTGTGTCACGATGACGAGTTGACTGATTCTACAAAAGCATCATAGTTGCTTGGGGTAGAGGGAAGATCTGAAATAGTAGAGTCTAAGTCATAAGTGAAGCCCTTCCAGTCGGCTTTCTTGAGATTGAAACATCGCCTAAAGGGGACAGCACAAGGGGAAATGACTGCAGTGATCTTGAGACCCATTGGTCGGTGTTGTGTATGGGGAATCGGGTCCAGGACAATCTCACACTGATTAGCCATTTTACCTGATGTGAAAAGCAGGTCTGGGTTGTACCCTCGTCTTCACCGTGAGCTAGTGAAAGAAGGAGGAAGCTTAGCATCATGAATGAGAGACAATTGGTTAGAGTCTGCCCAACTCTCGACTAGCTCACCATCTTTGTTAGTTTCAGCATAGCCCCAGTTGACATTATGGCTGTCGAAGTCTCCTATGGCCACATTGATGCGACTGCTGGTGGCATCAGGGGTAATGTCAAACATGATGGAAGGAGGTTTATATACTGAAGCAACAAAGCAACGATATAAGGAGTTACTATTTTTTTAAATTGATAAATTGTCAATAATTAACAATTCCATTGTCATGTTGTAATTTAAGGTATGAAGCATATGAAGAGCACACACATGACACAAGCAGCTACAAGTGATTCCCAGGTTTCAATCACTTCCTTCACATCCCCATCAACATTGTTATCTCAAGGACAGACTGTTCAGCTGTACAGATCAAAACAACCGAGGCAGAAAACCATCTCTGAAGCTCTGATAAAAGATCTCATTGTTAGATGTATTCTTCCAATTTCTCTTGTTGAGAATCACTATTTCAGGAACTTTATGAGAGTACTCGAACCAAGGCACTGGTATATGGTTTGTTGCAGAAAAAATTTCCTGTAATCATGGAAGAAAAGTTGTAACCAAAAAATTGTAACCAAGCGCAGCAGTGCTATATTTATTGCCTAGTTCACAGTACCATGTTTCTGCTGAAATGCACATTGACCTATATTGAAAGTAAACTGTCATGCAAGACTTTCTAATATTTTAGTTACCATTGCATAACACTTAGATGCTTGTTGGGTTAATGTATTCTCCATATTTCTATTTCTTTTGAATACTTGACATTTAAAAAACATTAATTGACTTTTACAGATTTATGCCATTGACTTGGTCCAGTTTGACCAGTGTCCTCGTTCCAAACTATGTGTGCGTTGCACAGGTGCAGAAAAAGATAAAGCAGATGTTCTGGATGACAAGTCTGTTTGGCAAGATTTACAGGAAGAACAAGAGGATGAGATTATGCAGGTTCTGGACAGCACTTGCAAAACATGGTTTCTTGTTTCACATAGTTTGCAACTTGTTGTAGGTGAAGGATGAATGAAGAATACAAAATAGGGGTGTGCATTTGCGAGTATTTTTAGAACCGGGTACCCGTTTTTTGTTAACATCGGGTATCCGGGTACCCGGAAAAGAGATCACTTAATAACAAATGGCATTGCACGCGACCCGTTGGACCATGTGCCTGAAACACGGTTCTTTTTGGTACACAGGCAGCAAGCAGCACATTGTTCTAAATGTCGGAGTTAATCTCTCCTACCTTTTTATCAAACGAAATTGTTACCTTCAGTTTGTAAATTTTTTGGGGGGGGTATATGAAACAGAAAAACAAATCCTCACGAGGAACGTCAAAAAAGAGGACAGAGCTGCAAACCACCTACGTGATATACGCACCTGCAACCGCTCAAAGGAAATGTCCCGGATGCTGCATGACCACATACATGCGGAACGCACGTGGCGCGCACAAATGGTGAGCGCTGGTCGCGTCACGTGCGGACCACATCAGTGCTATGTACGTTACGGGTTAAAAGTTTTATGTACAAAAATACCACCGTAACTCGAACAATGCCCACACTATTATAGCCACTTATTTTGAAACTGCCACCAAAATGCTTCAAACGGCGTTGAAAGTATCGGAAGTCTATATAGGGTTAGGAGTCATCGCAAGTTCATTTCTTCTTCTCACGAGGACCATTTGTATGCACATTGCATAAATCAACGTAGTTGCAAATGTAATCCTGGCTTTCAAGACGCTGAAACTAACCTGATTGCAACGCGGGCCCAATTGTAGTCCCCTTCAGGCAGTCCAATCGCTGACACTGCAGCGGCCATGTGACCGCAAAAGGAAAGGTCATGTGACTACACATAGGGAAGCCCAAGTGAAAAAAATAGCAGCGCTTCACGTTGTTAAATGACTAAGCGATACGAAAGTTTTGCCACATGAAGGTACGTACCACGATGAAGTGGTTTAGTTTAATAAATACTTTTTTCAGGATAACTCTATTCCCTGAGGTTCAGTTGTCGGGATTTTAATGTATAAGTACTTCGACAAGTGATATTTGAGTGGCCAATTGTATTATGACTTGCACCTGTCAACATTTCCCTTTTTTCGAACGACAAAATACTTAGATTTGAAATGCTTGTTTAAATACAGAAAACATCCTTCCTGCTTTTTTTGTTCAATTCCTCATCCACAGTTCCACTGAGTCACTGAGGAAATTCATGTTGCTTTAAATCAAAAATAATTTTGAAACAGCATATTTCTTGGTATAAAAAACTAAACTGGTTCTCTGACTCTTTGGGTTTGTAAAGCACATTTAGTGCTTTGGTTACAAAAAGAGGCCGATCAACCGCACAATTTGTGCGTGATCACTACTTACCGCACGCCGTGTGGAGTCCCAGTACTGCTGGAATATCACACAGTCCGCTCTCGCTTCGTCGGCAATCCCGACATAAAGTAATTTTCATTCATATTGTTTTATTTGACAAAAATAATATTAACTCAAACAGTAAGCACTACTAATTCCGCACAAAAGTCATTAGGCCGACAGGGTTTGAAAGTTACAAATACAGTCATGCAAGTGAACATCAACAGCGCTTTCACCTCATAAGACAAAACTCCTTCGTCTCTTGTTCATATAGGTTTGGTACAGTCATTTTCCTAGTTACGGATCGTGAAAATTATTCATTAAGACTGCAGCTAAAAAATCCTCAAATTCGAGTGAAATATGGTCAGAAGTCAACTTTGTGTTTTGGATATACTACCATTTTTTTTTCAAAATCTAAGCTAATCTAATAGCTAATCTATTTGGACTCACAGGATCGATCGACCAAAGTGACGATGACACCTTTCCTCGTTTTGGATCGGTTTAGGATCGAGACAAAAACGTCTTCACAAATAAAAAGTAACCATACGAAAAATCCATTTTCAGCCCAAACCATTGTAAAAAGTTGCTTTTCTAATAGAGAATCTTTTAATTTTGAGAAAATCAGATGAAAAATAAGAATTCCAATGAATTGAAAAGGTAGAAATTGCGTAAGCTTTGACTCGACTTTTCAACTGTAGAGTGAGCTATCAACGTTACCCTCCCCGTGCCGCAAAGTTGACGAACCCATTACGTCACATACATTTCTGCTGCACCCGTGTAGTTGAGTTCGCAACGACTTTGCGTGGTAACGCCGCGTGATCCGAGAATGGGGGAAAAACTTGCAGTTTTCGGTAAATTAACAAAAACGGAAACTCTAAAAAAGTCATTTTGATTACGCAGACATAAGATGCAAAGGTTTATATGACCATTCA